AATATAATAACTTTTTATTTATTAAATTCTCTATTCATTTGACAAGAAAAAATTGATTGGAGTTAATTATTTTAATTATTTATTTTGTTAGATCATTACTAATGCATTTTTGATTCAAACTTGAAATAACTACGTCGTTTCAAAAGTAATTTGTTCTAATTTAGAGAAACTTGTAATAGAGGATTCTCTTAAAAGAAGTACAAAAGTGTGATTAATAAATACAGAATCCGAGTAAGAAATCTCATTTTGTGAACTGCGCTATTTAGGCATAACCCCTTAAAAGCAAAACACTCTGTATAAAAAATCTGTGGCAATCATGCATATACGCTTGTGCGGAAAAAAAAACGAAATCTACGAGCCAAAAACATGTTCCCTTGTCATTAAAAAATGTTTTTCTTTTAATTTTAGCACCACGAAGTATCTGCGGATACGTTTGTTTGAATTTTTTTGTTAATATGTCACATAGAGGCAAACATTTTAGTTATACACCGTATAATTCACGTATGTGTGCAGCGAAAACGGAGAATCTACACGAGAAAAGCGTAATGGTTAGTCACGTTAACCCAATTAAGATTACGAAAGAGCCCCCTGAATTGAATAATCTACGCTTTCCGTCCGGTGTCTACCTACAATGGACGCTTCATCAAATAACACATCACGAGTAAGTAATTGTAAAATGTGCCGTTTATCGAGTTTAGCGTTTGGCAGTGGAAAATACGGAGGAATTCTGTCGACGATACGAATTTTCACATTTTTGTTTAATTTGCTTTATTTATAGAATAAATTTGTCCATCAATTATCGGGCAACATAAAAAATGACAAATTTAACGTTTCAACCAAATAAATACGAAATGACATATCGAATTATAATAAACGACACTTACAGTGTACGATAATTCAATATACAAAGAAATCTAATAGTCCAATTAACTAAGCCTTTAAATCGAAATTTTGCCAACTTGGCTGAATTTTTGATATGAGTTAGTTTAAGGTATATTATAACAATAAGTGTGTGTAATTTTTTGTTCAACCCCCGGCCAAGGGTGGAAAAAGATAAAACAAAGGGCTTTTTCAAGATAACTCAAAAAGGGTAAGAGCTAGAAAAAAAAGTTTTTCATGAAAGTTGTAAAGCAGACAATTCTACATAAAAATGGCCTCTTAACTTTTTCTTGTACTATTACAATTAACAGAGTTAGGGAGGCTAGAAGTTAAGGGAAGATTTCAGAAATTTAAAAAAAATCATAACAAACAGAAAAATGATTGAATTTTGTAATTTTTTTTTTCAATCTGCTCTAAAATATGTAACTTTTCTTTTCAGAGAAATAGATATATTTTTTAATTTTTAATAAGAAAGTTATAACAAAAAATCAAATTTTTAATCGTTAATTTTAATGATTTAACAAAATTAAATTTCTGAAATCTTCCCTTAACTTCTAGCCTCCCTAACTCTGTTAATTTTAATAGTACAAGAAAAAGCTAAGAGACCATTTTTATGTAGAATTGTCTGCTTTACAACTTTCATGAAAAACTTTTTTTTCTAGCTCTTACCCTTTTTGAGTTATCTTGAAAAAGCCCTTTGTTTTATCTTTTTCCACCCTTGGCCGGGGGTTGAACAAAAAATTACTCTCACTTATTGTTATAATATACCTTAAACTAACTCATATCAAAAATTCAGCCAAGTTGACAAAATTTCGATTTAAAGGCTTAGTTAATTGGACTATAAATAAAAAAATTTAGATAAATTTGGAACGAATACACTGAAGATGAATTTTTTGTGTACAAAACGTCTGAATCCGGTTCGGGCTGAGGTAGTACAGTATTAGGGGTCATGAAGGCTTGCAAAAAATGTAATAAAATTTCCAGGGTCGTATTTAAAAAAATGAAGTTGATGATTGTCCTGGAGGGACGAAACGTTACATATAAAAATTGATAGTGCCATTCGATAGAGGACAGAAAGTGGTCATAAGAAAGTGTTCTTCTTTTTTCAATATCACCTCAAATAAGGCTGAAATTAAACAAAAACGGATTTCCAAAATTTGGTTTTTTTTTTCAAATATTTCGAAAACTAATCATGTTAGCCTTCGTACTTCTTACTGTTTCCGAGATCCCTGTAGTGAGAAGCGAATTTGTAATAGCCTGTATATTCAAACGATTTTTCGATTTTGTTTGCATAATCGGGAAATTTTGAGGAATTTATTAAAACAAAAAAAATTAATTCATATAAACTCCCAAAACGAGTAGGTACTTAATTAAGGGGAAATATATTTCGAAAATATTTCTAATTCGTCGCAACTTTTGCCCTGTTTAGTTGGTAGTCCAGTAATATTTTGCGCTAATTAAAAATATTTTTTAATTTTTCAACGTTTCTTAATTCAGAAATTATTTGACTAGTGATTTTCATTTGTTTAGAACAGTAGTTTACGTCATTACGTCTTGAAAAAAGGTGTTTCAAGTTTCAAGAGATAAAACAATATTGTGAGATAGTTTCATTATTAGGTAGGTACCTACCTATGTAGTTATTTGATAATATAATACGTATCTATTAATTCAATTACGTTAAATTTATTTTACTTTTTAAATGAACCATAGCTTCATTTATTTATTTAATAATAGTAAAATAATTTCGAAATTGAAATTTTAATTAATATTTCGTTTAACAATAATTTTTTGTGACATTTTTGTAAATTAAAAAAAATTGAGTATAAAAGATTCATATTTTCTGGGGTTCAGGGCTATTCTACGAATTCGTAAATATGCCCATTGTTATTTTTTCGTCGAGCTACCCCAGGTAAAAAAAATAAGTTTCTACGATGAATAGAAGCCGAGATATTGCAAAATTTACAGCGCGCATCAATTTGAACTTTGGAATTAACTTTTCTCGCGCGCGCGACTCGCTTGGACGAACTTCCCCCATCACCACGCGCGCCGGACAGTTTACTTAGCAAGTACCTTCTCTTTAAAGGGCTCGTGAATCGTTAATTTTCCACATTTTTCAATGCAATTCACGGGAAATCGTAGTTTACGTCGTAAACTTTATTTTGCGAAAAATTCAAGTCTTAATATTTATAAACAATTGCGCTACGATTTAAAAAAAAATCTTATCTTGGCTCCTGTTGGTCGTAGAGGGTACTTTTTTTATTTTAAAACTGTATTTTTTTGCCAGCTATCCATTGCATCTATTTTCGGTGAGATAGCATAAATAGCAACAATGTTATTCAAATTGTTTATAAGCGAAAAACGCACGGTTTTTTAATGCACAATTTGAGAATGTTAATGTCAAAAAAACGGTGATATTTTTTAATAGGTCGCTTAATTGCGTCTTTAAGATTACAATGACGCTTTCAGAATCATGTTTGATTGAAAATTAACGTCTGTACAGAGGCTTAAAGTTCATAACTTTTGGAGCCTCCGCTATAAACAAATAGAATTGTGCGAAAACTATTGCACCTACAGCGCCCACTTTTGGCACACTTTTATAGTATGACAAAACCCTCAAATTGTCATAGGTTTTATAAAATTTTAACAACAAATCCGATAGTTATTGATGCTTTTCCCTGCAAAGTGAAAAAACTGTTTTCCTCACTTATTTGTTTAAATAGAAAAGTTAGCTAACAAAATTTGTTGACTCACGAGATGAGAGATGTCTTGTATTATGTTCCTTTAGACAATTTTACAATAATATCGCGGATAGGAATTTTTTCGAGTAACAATTTTATTTGCTTGGCCTACTTATCGAGTACAGAAAGAACGCATACATTATTTTTAAAATTATGCAAGCTCACCTAGATCAAAGCCGATACTAACAAAGAAAATAATTGAAACTAATTTCAACCGATCTTTCATGTTGATATTTGTACTTTGAGATAACATTTCCTTCGATTCTACTCAAAACTGAATCGATTTTTTTGCGAGTTACGAACATAAGATTGATTTTAGATAAAGGTTGAAGTGCGCAAATTCTATTAAATATTATGCCAACACAATCATTGCACAGTTGGTACTGGGTAAATTGAATTGGAATTGGTGGAAAGTTTTAAATAATAATTTAGTTATTTATCTGTTGCAAATAAAAATTATATGTACGTCAAGTGTATCTGATGTTAAGATTGGGAGTGAGACAGATATACGATGTAATGTACGTTAGAAATAATAAAAGAAAGTTTATATTCCGTTGCACCAAAAGTACATACATATATTTTAGTTATGCAATTTTAGTGTATGTATAAGGGCATTACTTTGTTAGAATATTTCATATCAATGCGTTAGGAAGTTTATTGGAAGCAGACCGCAAAAATTTTCACAAACATTACATATGGCAGCTTGTTGCAACTTATTATCTGGTTTAGGAAATAAAATTACTGTTTCTAACGTTGCAATGGAATGGAATTATTTAGATTGCTATAACTTTTCTCAAAAAAATCTAAATTTCGAGTTATAATGTAGAGGGAGCCACTTTAATCTACAGCGTATAGGATTTTTTTGTTTTCTTCATAATCTTACATTGTTTTACAATAAACAAATGCATAAATTTAAATTTCACAAAAAAGTGTTAAATATCCCCAGAACTGGCCCCTGAGGTATGTAACATTCTTTTTCGAACATCTTGTATATGTGTTGTAATATTAAAAACGCTTTCTCTTCAATTATGAAATAATATATAGGGTGTTATAGGATGTATACCCACTTCTAGTTGATAGGAACAACAATCTTATTTAACTTTTATTTTACTACTTACAATTAAATCCAGAAAGTTAGAATGGGATTGTGCAGCATTGAACGAAAATCAGTTTTCTTGAAGTATATTTTCTTATTTTTAAAGTAGCCTTAAATTCCAGGAGCAAATTCAATTTTTTTTCAACTTGCTTGATTATCTCTGTGTTCTATATAAAAAAAGAAATACTAACACAGAGGACGTTTTTCATTTATTTATACTTCCTCAGACTAAATACATAATATGTTTCATTAATTTACTATTGAAAAGCGATAGAAATGACAATAAATTATATGAAAATTAATTTATTAACAAAAAAAACAACAACTAATAATGCTTAAAGAGAGTTCTACACAAACAATTTCATAAAACTGAATAGGGCAAATGAAGCTACCAAAGAGGTGGAGTAGCCTGGTACAAAACCGCCGCTGTCGGTATTACAGAGATCTGTGTTACACACTTTACAATAACTGGCGCCGCTTTCTAGACCATCGCATTGATTCTTTATAGCGCAACTCCTGGTTATTACATCTAGAAAAGAAAATGTACGGTTTAACTTTTTAAGTAGATAAAACAGGATTTGTTATTTATGTTTTTTTTTTGAGAAAAAATGATCAGACATGACGGCAAAGCTCGAATTTTTCTGCATTTTGAAAAAGCGGCACTTAAATTGTAACAAAAGTTTTTTGTTCAAAAAATATAAAATATGTACAGGCTTACCTAATCACTATAATCTGACAAATTATTGTGAGTTTATTATTGAAATTACAACAAACTTTTTAATACAAAAATTTTAGCTTTTTTATGAATTTTTATAATACAGTATTAGAAAAAACAATGGAATAATGGAAATCACTAAATTAAATAATTTTTTTTTTAATGGAACACCCTATATATTAGTTATTAGTGCATATTTAGCTTCGTTAAATTTTTCTCTTTTCAAAAATATATAATATGTTACTGTTTGATTCGAAGAGCTGCAAGGGGTTGAGGTCGTGAGAGACCTTCCATGGACCAAAATCCTGGCGTTCATCAGGGCGTCGGGTAGGTTCGAGGAGGGTCAGAGGCAGAGAGTGGTTAGGTGATGGGACGGCGGGGTAGACAAATAGGGCTCACTTGTGGCCTAATTGCCAGGCTGAGGCCGCCCCTTTTACTACTACTACTACTAGGTACTACTACTACTACTACTACTACTACTACTACTACTACTACTACT